CTCTCTCTCTCTCTCTCTCTCTCTCTCTCTCTCTCTCTCTCTCTCTCTCTCTCTCTCTCTCTCTCTCTCTCTCTCTCTTTCTCTTTCTCTCTCTTGCACACACACACAAACACACACACACACTCACTTACTCACTCACTCACTCACTCACAATCAATCAATCAATCAAACCCCTTTTTTGAAGTTTTTTCTTTATTTATTTTTAAATTGTGTATCTGCATTTTTTTTAAACACCTCATACCCATCAAAAAAACAGAAATTCATTTCTAAAAAAATACAGGTGAACTTAGGGACCATATATCTCATGATAAAAAATGACAAAAAAAAAAACCAGCTTTTCTTTATAAATATTTTTTAATTTTCTTTAAATCGAATTTAGTTTTTGATTTTTTTAAAATCCTAAACAAAGTCGGATTCCAAAAAACAAAATATGGGGCTGTAGGGCTTAAAATTCCCTACAACCCCACATATATATATTTTTTAACCTATTATTTAATTCAGGAAAATTCTGGTAAAATCGGGTCCGCGGAGCGGACCAGGTCGGCCGCGGACGTGGGCCCATCTGCGTCCGCCATCCGAGATCGGACCCACGGACACGTCCGCGGGTGTTTCATAGGGTGATGGTGCTGCCTGAGCACGGCCTGCCAACGACTAGGCTCTGTTGGATATCTTGAAGGATGGTAGTTTAATGCTCCTGCATCTCTATTACACTTAGCAGGGCCCTCCTAACTACCCTCACATCATCATCCATGTTCGTCAGGTCCATCGTCTCTAACTCCTCTATGTCTGCCTCTCTCTGCTGCATCCTAACTCTTTTTCTGATCATCTTCTCCTTCTCCGCTTTTCTCTCTCCTAATGACCGCTGTAGTTGTGCCTCCTGCAGGGCTGCCTGCTGGATGGCGACATCCTCTGGAGTCAACACTGCTGCCTGGCTTGCCATAACGGCAGTGGACTGACTCACGGTCTGCGCGACCGTTGACCCGACGACACCTGAACTGCTGGCTTGGGAAGTCTGCTGCGCAGAAGTGACCATGTCGGAAGTAGTCATGGCTGCTGTAGCACCGGCCTCGCTAACTAAAGCCCTGCTGGCCTCGGCTACTCTAGCTCTCCTCTGCTGCTGCTGTCTCTCCCTAAGCTGGCGAAACAGAATCCTATCACCCTCCGGTCCTAGGGACACGTGGGCTATCGGGCGTCTAGCTGATCGCAAGATCCAGACATCCAAGTGTGTGTCCTCCTGGTCGCTCATAGGCTACAATGTTGTGCACCGTCTACACTAGGACACTCTAGGTGCCTACCACAACATAATGCTCAGACCAACTAATAAGTTGGTGGCTATTTTGGAACAGATATCACTTGAGGTCAACAGGTAAGTCAGATTCCTACAGCTGAAACTATTTTTAGTCTGACAAGTTTGCAAACAGAAGCACCAGGAACAATAAACAGTTCTAACTAATGTTGTCTGTCAGATGTCAATGGCAGTACATCTAACTAATCAAAACATAAAAATAGAAGCATTTGTGCGGATAGGACAACATGAAATTTTCTCGAACTTATCACCTGGAATAAACCCCTCCCTTAGTTCCCTTGAGTATCACTTGACGTCAGCGTCCTTGAGCGATCTGGAGAGCGTCGCTGTCTAAAGGTGTGTGTCCGGCCCACCCCTGTGCCCCGAGTAACTGTTGAGCTGGCCAGCCTTGCACGTATATTTATCCTCGGCGTGTCGCGAGCCTTACATCACTGGCTGATCAAGAGGCATTTTAACGTCCGCCCCCAAGTGACATCAGGAATTATTTTACATCGCAGCAGGACGACGATCACAGCCAGTGATATCCCCTTCCCGTGTTTATTTATATACGCCGGGTGCTCGTCTTTCCTGTAGGGCTGGCCTGCCCAGTAGTACCCATCTAACAGCGCAGCAAGCCGAACAAAGGACAGGCAGCAACGCATGCGTGTTCTATTCCCTGTGGGTTGGCATGGTGACCGTGACACAATGCTTCGTCCAGGGCCCTTCAGAAAGCTCCACCCATCTCCACCCAGATGCTCCACGTGAACATTGCCGACTCTCAAGGTTGAGCGCACTCGACACCTCACGATGAGAGGACTCTCAAGAAGGAACACACAACCTCACGGTAAGAAGTGTCGAAGAGGGAAGATAAGGTTAAGAGCAACATACCTCAATTAGCTGCCCCCAACCACAGAGATAATCTCACCAGATGACCAGATGGCGATTGCGATGACCAGTCACTGCATCGGCACAACCAGCACTATCTCGTTGTTCCACCTCAGCATCAATCGCACATTAGATAGTTCTCATCACACTGTCCAGACCACATTACCCCCTCGTAGCCTTCCTAGCGATCCCCTCACCTCCTGGGTCGCCTACACACTCGTCTCCACCCTCCTCACTACACACCACTTACGGTCAAACTCGCCCAGCAGACCGCATGTATGTACCGCATAAGGCAGAAGACAAGCGCCGGATGAGCGCAATCGTACCACAGCTGCGATACCAAATTGCAAGGAAGATGAGATGGATACCAGAAAGTGACGAAATAATCAAGCATGCATCGCAAAACAAGAAAAAAGAAATCCGAGAGGATCACTCGAAAAAGGGTTCACATCCATGTCATGCATACATACGAAGCAAAAGCAACAAAGAAAATCCGAGATGATTTACAAAGAAAGTCCGAGAGGGCCGCAACAAGATCGGCCAAAGTAGAAATCAAAATTATACAGATAGTTGGAAGAAGGGACTTCATCCCACACATAGCTTCTCTCTCTCGCTCTCTCTACATTCCCCGATGCGGGCAGTCCGTCGCCGCGCATCAACACAGAGTTGACACCCCGCTTGGTCCGGGCATGCAAGCCAGGTTCGCCTGTGTGCCACAGTCCGTCGCGGCCCGCACGTCAACCCCGCATACCCGGCACCAGCTCGTCGGATCGCCCAACTCTCTCGTCGACTCACCTCTCAAGCTTGACTCGTTTGCCGACCCTCACTGATCGCGCTAACCCCAAAGTTCATAGAGAGCAAACTAATCGCGCTCGCCAAATTTATAGCATGCATGCTTGCGTGAAGGATACGGGATTAAGCCCAAGTGATTAGGAGGAAAAGAGACAAAGTGCCTACCTCTGCATGGCCAGGCCTCGGCGCGGGGGTTGTAGCCACACTCCACGCATCGATCCGGTCATACAGGCGTTCGGGCCAATTGGAACAGAGTATTAAGCATGCAAGACAAAGAAGAAGAAGGCGGGCAAACACGAGGAAACCAAGAAAGAAGAAAGATACAGTTCTAATCGCGCCCGCCAAAAACGACAGTTACACAAGATTAAGGGCGCGATCCAGTCAGAGCCCAGTTCCCAGTGCCACAAAATGTGCGCGAGTGAGAAGCGTGGCGCAGCAAAATTCAGAGTACCTAAATTCCTAGCCTAAGTCCTAATTGCAAAACGAAAATTCCGAAGAGCCCAAAAACGATTCCGCGAGCCCGTGGGGGGGGCTCGTCGCCAGTTGAAAATTCAAA